AAAAAAAAAAAAAAAGAAAGAGAAAGAAAAGAAAAAAAATGAAGCGGAAAGGATTCATTTGTGAAAAATACTTCTTGTTCAGCAAATTTTAATCTAACTTCATTTCTTTCCTTACTTTTTCTTTTTCTTTCCCAAAATAAATTCCACAAGTTGCTTCATTTAAATTTAACAAAGATATACCAAATGTACTTCACAATTGAATCATTCCTTTCTATCACGCGTTTTCATTTTTTTTATTTTATTTTTAAACTTATTTTAAATATTTAATATATATACTTTTTTCTGAATTTATTTTTAAACATTTAATACATTTAATATATGTACTTTATATACTTTCGTAAGGAAATTTTAAATTTATTAAAAATTATAGGAAAAAAATTAAAAAAAATAGGAAAAAGGAACGAAAGAATGAAAAATCATTTTATAATGAAATTTATTGAAAGTATTGTTGACTTAATTCATTTCTAAATATTTAACTAAAACAGGTTCAATTGCGCTTCTCAAATACTAAACTATCTGTTCAAATTTCCTCTTTCCCCATCTCCACCCAACCCATCATCAAATATCTGTATAATTTATTTGTCGAACGCGCATCTAACATTATTTATTTTTCTAACTATTGCTGTCCCAAATAATAATATGTGCAATACTTCTTCTATCTTATCATTTCCTTAATTAATAAATTACCTGTTCCTCTTTTTTCTTTTCGTTAATTAAACTTCCTTCGTTTCATCACTTTTTTATTTTTCATTTGCTTACAATATTAGCTAATTACAAATATAACCATATTATTTAATTGTTCATGTTGAAATAATTATTTGATCATTTTTCATTGCGATAAATTTATGGAATACATTTCCAATATACTACCTGATCTATTTGGACGTAATGGAAGTGACACGTCAAATGATATCAAACCAATCAAATGTCTACTAATACATTCCAAAATAAAATTAAACGATCAAATAAAATTATTTTAATCTCATTTTGGGCATTTTGTTAGATCGTTTAATGATGATTTCAAACAAATGCGATTATATAAAATATCTTCTCTTTTTCTTTTCGAAATCTAACTTTGAAAAATTAAAAGTCAGTCTTTTTTCCTTCTCTCTCTTCTTTTTTTTTTTTAAATTTGCAGAGAGATGATTTAATTTCTTTCTTTTTCTGTATTCCACAAATTGTATCTAATTTCCATGGAGTCTGGTAAGAAATGATATGACGAGAATAAAAAAGTGCGACAGAAGCGACAATGATGACAAGAGAAATGACGAGAAAATCTTTCAACAAATACTTTTTTTTTATTGTAGCATTTCTCTATTAATTATATTTCTGTCCATGAAAATATTTAAACAATTTATGTTTTCATTTTCTTTCCTTCTTTGTTTTTTGAAATTAATTTGAATCTTTCATTTTATGATTTCTAATTTGTTAGTTAAATGAAAAGGTCTTAACTGATCGAAAAGGTCTTAACTGGTCCAATAATAGTTTTGGGAATTGAAAAATAAAACTGAAAAGTTGAAATAAAAGCTTTTGATAATTAAATTATTGCAAAATTTGTTGACCCAAAAAAAAATCCAAATTTTTTGAAAAAAGTCAAAAATTAATACGTACAATACAAGTTGGTTTATTTTAATAATTAAAAAAAAAGTGTAAAATTCAATCAATCAATAAAACCAACCATATATTAAATACATTAACTAAATTTATATCCAATTTTTTTGTCTTTTATACTCAAAACAAACTGAATACTGTATTTCATTACTTGTACGATGCGTATTGTTATTTGATGAAATTAATATTTTCATGTAAAATTTTGATTTTTTTTTCTTTTCAGGTGCCTCAAAGTATCTTTTATACGGGTTTTCACTAGCTCATCCTCGCTGTCTCTCTCTCTCTTTTTTCTCCCTCTCTTTCCTTCTGTCACATTTATCAAATGTTCGAATATTAATAATAATAATAACAACACTAATAATAATAATAATAATAACAATAATAAAAAGAGCGATACGTACTGAATGACAAATGCGCCGTTATGACAAGTTCCAGCGAAGGCGAAATACTTCAAACATGTCAGATTATCCGAGAACGATGGAAAATCGTAAGTATTATTATGATTATTTTTTAGAAATAAAAAAAATTCGATCTAAATTTTAATTATTCTATTTAATTCATTTATCAATTAAATTTTCGATATTGGAGTGATTTTTTAATTCAAAAAGTTGACACAAAATTTTCATTTAATGTTTTGATAATAATAATGTCATAGCCTTATGTCTTAGCATTTTAGCTTTTCAAAAATTATGCCTTATTTCATATATATGATGAAAACTTGCAAATATTTCTTCAACAATTTAATTAATTATAAAATTTCAGAGTTTAGTAATTTATTATAAAATTTCAATAGCTTAAAAAGCATTTGTAAAAAAGAGTAGTTAAAAATGGATAGATAATAGTTATAGATGTATGATTTATAGAAGATGAAAATTGGAGGTGGCGGCTTTGGCGAAATTTACGAAGCTATCGATTTGCAAAATCACAATGAAAGGGTAGCTATGAAGGTTGAATCTAGTAAAGCTACCAAGCAAGTACTTAAAATGGAAGTTGCCGTACTAAGAAGACTTCAAGGTTATTATTAATTAAGTCATTTTTCTCTTTTTCTCTTTTTTCCTACAGGGTTATCATAAAACTTCAAATAAATGGAAAGATTTTAAAATTTGAAGTTGAAAAAAAAACAGAGAAATTTATGAGCGTAATATTTAAAAAATTAACTTAAACTTAATTTTAAAATAAATTAAACTTGTATCAGAGATAAGAAAATAAAATGCTAAGATAAAGCCAGAAAATTTAACAATGTAAAATAATTAAATAATTATAATTCCTTCGGGTATATACTATTTCCAATCCGGTTTACAGGGAAGATGCATGCATGTAAATTTTACGGGTGTGGGCGAAACGACAAATTTAATTATTTGGTAATGAGCTTACAAGGTAAGAATTTAGCCGATCTACGTCGTGAATCACCCAAGCAGTCATTTTCCTTGTCAACAGCAATCCGTATTGGATTACAAATTCTGAATGCTATCCGGGAAATACATTCCATCGGATTTTTACATCGTGATATCAAGCCTGTTGGTTTTTTTTTTTAATAAAATGAAATATGTTAACTAATATGTTTCAAATTTTTGAATAAATATTTTTATAAAATTGATATAATTTTTGTATTGAAAGATGATCGAATAGTCTGATCATAATAAAACTTTCCGAAAATTTAAATAAATTTGTTGTCATTGTCACATATAACTTTGTTTATTGGCCATATTTGACAAATTGATATTAACTGATTAAATTTTTAGTCAAATTTTGCAATGGGCCGAACGAATGCAACATGTAAAATGATTTTTATGCTTGATTTTGGTCTTGCACGACAATATCTCAATGCAAAGGGTGAAATTCGAAGTCCAAGAAGTGCGGCTGGTTTCCGAGGTACCGTACGATATGCTGCTGTTTCGGCTCACAGAAATAAGGTAAAAATTAATTCAATCTATACTTCTCTCTCTCTTTTAACATTTTTCAAATATTTCTTGTTTTTTGTCCCAGAAATAAATGATCCTAAAGTAAAGGCAATAAGGAATAATAATATTGATAATAAAGGATCAAGATATTAGACCATTGTTTTACTGTAGTTTGATGTTGTTGAATTAGAAGTTAAGATAAGGTTAGAATTGAAAAAAAAAGTTTTATTTTAAAATAGTTTGAGATTTTTATTCAAAAAAAGGGGAAAATTTTGTTTCAATTCTACTACTTTCCTATATATTTCAATTTTTTGTTATGCAAAAAATTTTTTGCAGTTAAATTTATAAAAATACAAATTAATACAAATTTTCAATAATTTCAAGCATTTTTTAGGAAATGGGACGACAAGATGACCTATGGTCATTGTTTTATATGTTAGTCGAATTTTTGCAGGGTTCATTACCTTGGAGGAAGATTAAGGTAAAAATTATGTTTTAATTTAGAAAGTTTTTTCGTTCTCAACAATTTCACAAATTTCTCTGCAATATTAGAATGAATTTTGTAAAAATCTAAATAAGCAGTCAATTATTTGGATTGGAAATGAAATAAATAATTGGGAAGGAAAAAACCGGCAGTATTTTAATATATATCATACGATGTATTAGCGAAAAAAAAAATTCATCAATCAAATAATGATTGATGAATTTTTCATCTTCAAAAAAAAAAATTTGCAAATAACAAATTTCCTTTCTAAATTATAAATTTAAATTTGTGAGAAAAAAAAAGGAAGAAATCGGTGGATATCCTACATCTTTTAAAGTTTTTTTTTTTATTTTTAACCCAACCACTTGTTGTCGTTGATGTTGATTAATTCTGATAAAACTTTAAAAAAAAAATAATAAAATTTCTATCTTACTTTTTGTTTATGCTCTTTTTCTCTAAACCAAACGCTAATATTTTAAGAAATACTGCTTCTCTTCTTTT